CTAGGAACAATAGGTCTACTGCCTTGGTCTCTTACCAGTTAGCTCACACTCTGTGGGTCCAGAAGCATTCAGAATCGGGAGGTGGGGCTCCATATTCATAGAAGAGCAAACTGCCGTGAAAAATGATGGTTGGGCAGGTTACCCTGAGCTCTGATGGCTCACAATCGCCAGGATCATCAGGAAAATGTGCCCGCTTCTGCTCTAGACCGTGCTTCCGTAAGTACTTATAATTACGATCCTTTTAAATTAAATTTTAATTGCAAAAGCAATATATTCTCCATGTGAAAAAGACCAAAGCGTTACAGACTGAGCCAAATCTTTCCTTATCACTATACCTGACCCCAGTTCCCTCTCCTTTCCCAAAGTTAACCGCCATAACTCACGTGAAATTCACCTTAATAGACCTTCTGTGCACTTACACACATAAACTGTACCTGCAACATAGATGCACAAAGTATTGTGGAACTTCCTGTGTGTAGGTAGGTTCAAAAAAATGATACCATGCTATGGGTAACCTTCTTCAGCCTGATAGTTTTCACTTAATACTCCATCGTGGAGAGCCCTCCGCATTCGAAGACATTAGATTTACAACCTTTTTCAACAGCTGCAAAACATTTCTTAGTGTGGACGATGCCATCGCTCTAGTCATTCCTCTGTGCTGGAGCGGTTAGGTCGTTTCCCAGTGTTTCTGCAGATGGATAATCCTTCCCTGAACACCTTGCAAAACACCCCTCATGCGAGTGTTTCTCCAGGATAGGTGCAAAGAGGGTGAATGATTTTTTTTTCACTAGTTGCTGCTCAGTTGTCCTTGAAAGTGCCTATAACTAATTCCCCCTCACATCAGTTGTGTGTGAGCAAGATCCCATATCTGACACCCTTCTCACCCCTTGGCATATCAAAGAGTCCTCATGTCACCCGCGTCTTTATAGCGTCTTTATATCTAAAGTGCCCAAGACAGTGTGGCTGACACACAGACGGTGAGCCACTCACATTGGCTCACCTTCCTTTAGCTGGAATCTCCTTTCCCATTGCGGTTCCTGCTCCCCTCCCCTCCACCTGCTCACCCCCAGTGTCTGCACAGGGGCCTCTCCTGAGCTCCGGGTTAGGTGAGGTTGTTCTGAGTCCAGCAATGCCCTCTCTCACTACAGTCGATGAGCTGTATTACTTTCACATTTCATGTGCCGTCTCTCCTACTAACCGCTGACCTGCTAGACACCATGGAATGGGCCTTTTTGCTTCTCTGTTTCCCCAACACCTAGTCCTGGACCCCACGCCTAGTCGGCCTTCAATAAGAGATTTAAAATGAGGGCCATTTTCACGGAGCCACATCCTCAATAGAATGAAAGCCTGTGAAAATGAACAGCGTATCAGCAGAAGAAGAAATTAAGCGGTCAATCTGCTGAACAGCAAAGATTCCTGTATTTCAGGTCTTTTAACGTGATGGAGCGGGAGGGAGGGGGCTAAAGGTAAAACATAACAGAGCTGGAGAAAGGCTGTCCATTTTTAATCTGGAAAGCAATTAGCATGTCACTTCATTGCCGTTGCCCGGGTGGGGGACAGGGCCTCTGCCTGTCGCTGTCTCCGAGTGACCATCTGCTGTCCTTCTGTCCTTCCCACTCAGGGACCACGGTGATGCGGATGACAGCCTTCGACGCGGACGACCCGGCCACAGATAACGCCCTCCTGCGGTATAATATCCGCCAGCAGACGCCTGACAAGCCGTCTCCCAACATGTTCTACATCGATCCTGAAAAAGGAGACATCGTCACCGTGGTGTCACCAGCACTGCTGGACCGGGAGGTGAGCTGAAAGTCACGCATCTTCTTCAAGTGCGGCTCTCACCTGAGGGAAGATGCAGGGCTCTATGCCATGAAGGTGGAAATGAGATATTTACACAGGGCGGTGTGGGAAAACCTATAAAGGGAAATGGGGTATTATATGAACCCAAAACACACACTGTCAGCTCGAATTATTTGAGTTCGTTTAAACTGATGCCTCTGTGTCCTCGGCAACCACTTACTCTGAGCCCTGGTGATCGTGAACCCCAAACCTCACCTCTCTGCCATGAGGGAGAGGGAGGGGGGAGGGAGGGAAGAAAGACGGGGAGGGGGAGCTTTGTCCAAGAGCAGTGATGGTCTCCCGTCACAGCAGGTGGCTTCGCCCTCGTTGCTCCCTCACACCCTCTGCTGCGCACACTGTTTCCCCGGGGCCGCCTTTCCTTCAGTCTCCGCTTGTCCCCCTTGAGGTTGTCCCTGCGACACCTCATCGGCTTCTGGGTTAGATGTCACAGACAGGTGGCACATGGACCTCATTGGTCCATGCTCTTGCTCTGGTTTATCCCAGGGTGTTTTAAAGTTTTCACCTTCGTTGCCATGTCACAGTATTTAGATTTTATGTTTCTTTTTAAAAATTCCAACTTCTGGCCTTTCTGAAAGTCAAAAATTCTGGAAATTTGGGCCGTGGTTTTCGCATGTGGATACTTGGTAATATCAGATGTAAGGGTTACATGGCAGCTGCCCCAGTCAGATGGGCCGTGTGCTTCTGCTCAGGTATGAGCCCTCCTCCATGTGTCCCCTGGCCCTGACCTTCCTCCTGAGCTCCAGGTCACTGCAGACTACCCTCAGCGGGAAGCCTCTCGACTCTTCCAACACAGCGTACCAAACCTTGGGGGTTCCTGCCCACCCATCTATCCATCAGCCCCTCTGCCCAGCCCAAACCTGCCCCCCACCACCACCTGGCATTTCTTGCTCCCCACCTGGCATCACCCCACAAGCATGAGTAGCGACCTGGACCTTCTACAAGTACCCTGCCTTGCAGTCACCACTGGGTTTCCCTAATGGGCTCCGTGCATATTCTCCTTGGTGTTTCTGATTAAACAGATCTGGGGTCAGAAATGCCTTCTCCTCTCCTTTCTGCTTCCCCTGCTATATCACAAGTACTGGTTACACACATCTCTTCCGAGAAGCCGTCCTCCTCCACCTGAGTCTTCCATGGGTTCTTTCTCTAATCTCGGCCTGTGCTTGCCCGTGGCCATCACATGGCGTTTTCCATAAGCTCCTTTAAATTGTCATTTGTCTCCTTAGAGAATATCCTCTTCTTCTTTGTCTAGACCTGTGTTGTCCAATGTGGTAACCACTAGTCACATGTAATTGTTTAAGTCTAATTTTCAGCAATTTAAATTAAATGTAAAAAGGTTCTTAGTCAGACTAGACAGATGTCAAGTACTCAGCAGTTTCATGTGGCCAGTGGTACTGTATTGGCCAGAACAGACATAGACTATCACCATCAACATAGGCAGTCCTGCAGGCAAGGCTGGCCTAGGCTGTAAAGTACTTGAGACTAGAGACTGTGATCATAGGCGTGTGGGTATCCCCATGGCCTGGCACAGTTTGAACACTCCTAAAAAATCCTAATTATATGGGCTTTGGTGTATAGACAAGAATGAATGGGAAAGGAGGCTAAGATTTTTATACTTCAGAGTGGGAAACAGTAGCTAGAAATGGGAAATTATTGCCAATGAGGGTGAGAATGAAATTTGCATAGAAACTATGGTTGTCACTTGAAAAGGGGTGATTGTTTCCATTTAAAAATAGAAAAGCAGGGGGGGGGAAAAGAACAGACTGAGTCAATTTCCTTCATTTTCTCTCCTATTCTCTTTTCAATCTTCCCTAGTAGGTGGCTGCCTGACTGCCATACTATCTTCTTTGGAGGCAAGTAATTACTTTCCAACTCTATCATCCACCCAGGACGCCTGTGTGTACACGCACACACACACACACACACACACACACACACACACACACAATGCAGTGATTTTTCCATCTCAGTTCTCCTTTTACTGATAGAAAAGGTTTTGTCTCTATTTATAAATCAAAGTGATAACATAGTGGATTATTCCATTTTTTAAGGTTTGTTTGGCGACAGATGTGTTTCAAGCTCATTATCTTTTCGTGTGGGTTTTGGCGAACTTGCAATGAGTGTATAATTATGGGAGTTGAATTAAGCACTTCTAGCCACATACATAAACAGCTCAAAAAAAAAGCGACCAACACAATTTAACTAAAATTGGAAAATCAATGGAAATGAGTGAAGAATGTCACTTTCCTATGAAGGTTCCCAGAGTTCAGTGCTGACCCAGCAACATCCCCAAAGAAGCATCCTAGACGTAGGCAAGCATCGCCTGTGTACTTGTGCCGCTATAGCTATTTGTCGGCAAGCTGCTGAAGGATGAAATGAGACTCCGAGTCACTCATCTTCAAAGGGACAGAACTCACACAGCACACAGACCTCTAGTTGGGGTTGCCCACAGTTTGCAATGTTTTCGTCTCACTGCCCTCCTGTGCGTATGGCAGGTTTCCTCAGCAGGACGGGCAATTACTTTTCATTATTTCTGGACACCTTCCGAGTAAGCTCCTGTCTTAGGTGTGGTTTTAAATGCCTACTTTGGGACCTTCTGGGCAGAATGTTTAACACAGATTAATGTCAAGAAAATATCCCATTGGGGGAGCCCAACGAACTTTGTATGATTCCAAGTGATTTTAGGTTTAGTCACCCTGTCTTCACTCACAGTACCTCAAATAGCGTATTTGGGGGTTGGATGCTGTGAGTGTAAACAAACAAGCAGTTTGCTCCCCTCTGGCTCCCCTCCTTGGTGGGAGTGGAGGCTCTGGAAACACACCGGCTGGTTGACATGCACTCAAATGATATGATATAAATTTTTCATTTTGATTTTCCATTAGAACCTTTCCTTTCATGAGTACTCCAAGGAGTCGGCATGCACTGTTTTCTGAGAACTTGCCTGTGTACTTTCCCTGCCCTTCACGTTTTTAATTTGTAATAAAACTTGTCAGTGAGGGCAGTCAAGGACACCAGTAAATAATCATTTTTAAAATTTATTTTTTAGTTATAGTTGACATATCATATTGTATTCAGGTGTACAACATAGAGATTGGACAGTTATATACCTTATGAAGTGATCACCCTGATAAGTCTCGTATCCACCTGACAGCACACATACTAGTATTTATTACAGTGTTATTGACTATATTCCCTAGGCTGTACTTTGTATCCCACCACTTTATTTATAACTGGCAAGTTGTACTTCTTAATCCCTTCCACCTTTTTTGGCTCATACCCCTTCCCACCTGGCAACCATCATTTTGTTCTCTGGATCTGGGAGTTTGTTTCTGTTTTGTTGCTTTGTTTTGTTCTTTAGATTCCACCTATAAGCGAAATCATATGGTATTTGTCTTTCTCTGTCTGACTTATTTCACTTAGCATAACCCCCTCTAGGTCATCCATGTTGTTCCAAATGGCAAGATTTCTTTTTCACGACTGAATAATATTCCTTTGTGTCTGTGTGTGAGTGTATCACTTCTTTACCCATTTATCTACTGATGGAAATTGAGGTTGCTTTAATGTCTTGGCTATTATAACTAATGCTGCAATGAACACAGGGGTGCCTATAGCTTTTTGCATTAGTGTTTTTTATTTCTTTGAATAAATAGCCAGAAGTGGAATTCCGGGTCATATGGTAGACCTGTTTGTAATTTTTTGAGGAACCTCCATACTGTTTTCCATTGTGGCAACATGTTACCATTGTTATTGTTGTCCTCTCTTCTTCCAACCCTCACTCCCCAGATGTTCCAAGTGGGGCCAACTGAGGCAGGTCCCTCACAGAGCTGCTCCTTCCACACTTCCAGGAGAAAGGGATTTTATCTGGCTTGTTCCCTGACATATCCCCAGTCCTTACACATGTGAGATGCTCAAAACTATTGTGTTGAGGGATGGAAAGAAGGATGTGAGGAAGAGAGTGGCAGGCAGCGTGGAGTTTATGCCAGATCTGTGTGCACAGGCTGCTGTCCGGCAGGAAACAAGGGTCCAGGTCAGTTGATGCTGCTTCTCTCTTAATTTCCTGGTATGTTTGAGGTAGTGCAACCTCTGGACCCAGAGCGAATGCAGGGGCAAGACCACCCACTCTGGGCAATGGGAAAATGCTAGAAGGCAGCCCACCTTCTGAGGACCCATAACTGACCCCTCCTCTACCTCCTAACCACGGTCATCAGCTGACCTGGCTGCCCATTTGACAGGCCAGCATTGCCCAGCAGCTGCCATCCAGTGAGTGGACTGAGAAGTGAGTTCTCCTTAAGATGTCCCTCCTCCACTGAGCAGTGACCTTGGGGAGAACAGGAGGACTCTGTGGAAAGTGATAGGGACAGTGGAAGTGACAATGGAAGGAAAGAAGAAAGGGAGGAAGGAAGAAAGAAGGAAGGAAGGAAGGAAGGAAGGAAGGAAGGAAGGAAGGATGAATGGACAGATGAGTAAATATCTAACAGACTGTCTGAGAACTTACTGCAAGACCCACATTCTAGCATGGGCATGTAAACAGAGGAAATTATTTTATTGAGTTGAGAGCTTGGTCGTGTCCTTGTGTACTCATCCAGTAATCGAATTTTTTCACCTTACACCTACCTTGTGTCAGGAACTGCGCTATGCTCTAAAAACTACCGTTGAATAGGATGAGCATAAAGATCTGTGTCTCTTGCTTAAATGTTTGATGAAACATTTGGAGAAAGTAAGAGCCATATATCTTACTAAACAAAATTGGGTTCATTTGGGGCACCGTTTCATTCTTTTCTATAAGCATACTCAGCCCCTCATCTGACGGCTCTGTCTATGGTTTTAAACTATGTCTCTCTGCACTACAAAATAAAATCAGATAAAGGCCTCTAACGTTTGATAAATGGTTTTATTTAGTCTGTCGTCTTAGCTGCTAAAACAGAAATTCTTCACCTAAAATC